TGGTTATACATTTGCAAATCAATCAACATAATTCACCATATCAACAGACTGAATAAAGAGGAAAAATATCATCTCAATTGATGCAAAAAAAGCATGTGACTTAATTCCACAGACATTCATGATAAAAATGTTGAGCAAACTAGCAATTAAAGGGATCTCCCTCAAACTGATCAAGAGCATTTACAAAAAAAAACCTAGTGTAAACATCATAATTAATGATGAAACACAGAATGTTTTTCCTCTAAAATCAGGAACAAGGCAAGGATGTCTGCTTTCACTACTTCTGTTCAACATTATGTTAGAGACCCTAGCCAATAAATAATATCTGAAAAACAAAGGGGATACAAATTGGAATGGAAGAAATAAAACTGTTTAACTGCATGCAACATGATGATCTATGCAGAAAATCCTACTGAATTTACCAAAAGAAAAAAAAAAGCTACTAGATCTAATACGTAAGTTTATTATTATCACCAGATGTAAGATCAATATAATTTATTTTGATACAATAAAAATTGGAAGTTAAAGTTTAAGAAAGCACCATTTATAATATCATCAACCCCCAGAAAACACTAAATTAGAATAAACCTAGCAAATATGTGCATGATTTGTATGCTGAAAACTTCAACACATTGATGAGAGAAATTAAAGAAGACCCGAATAAATGGAGAAATATATTATGTTCATTGAGTGAAAGATGAACTAGTTTTAGGATGTAACTTCTCTCCAAACATATCTATAGATTTGATGGAATTTCTATCAAAATTCCAGTAGGATTTCTGTAGAAATTGAGAAGGTATTTCTAAAATGCATATGGAAAAGCAAAGGAACTAGAATAGCCAGAACAATTTTGAGAAGGAAATACAAAGTTGCAAGAGTCACACTACCTCATTTCAAGACTACCGTAATGAAAACACTGTATTATTGACATAGGATAGACATATAGATAAATAAAACATGAACAAATCAGCATATACAGTCTACAGATTTCTGACAATGGTAATTAAATGGAGAAATGATGGTCTCTTCAACAAATAGTGCTGGAAAAATTTGACATCATATGCAAAATATTTACCTTGAACCCATAGATAAGATCATATATAAAAATTAACTCAAAATGAATTACTGACCTAAGTATAAAAGCAAAAATTATGAAACATGTAGAAGAAAACAAAGTAGAAAATCTTTGAGACCTTCATTTAGATAAAGATTTATTAGAATGCAAAAAGCATGGACCATAAAACATTTGATAAAATTGACCTGAAAACTTCTGCTCTTCAAAAAATAAAGTGGAAATCCACAGAGTGGGAGAATATATTTAGAAATCACTTATCTGATAAAAACAAACAAACAACTTGTATCCAGAATATATAAAGAACTCTATAATTCAATAATAAGATTAACAACTCAATTTTGAAAATGGACAAGCAATTTCAATAGATTCTCATCAAAAAAGATATATGAATGTCAAACAAACATATTAAAAGATAATCCATATCATTAGTAATTAAGGATATGTGAGTTAAACTACCACTAACACCTTTATAAGAACAGCTAATATTAAAAAGAGAAAAAAAAGCCGACAGTATCAATGACTGGCAATGATGCACAGCTACAGGGCCTTATACATTGCTGGTGGAAATATAAATTCCACAGCTACTTTAGAAAACACTTTGGCAGTTTCTGATATAGTTAGACATAAACTTATCAAAAATCCAGAAATCTCATTCTTTGGGTATTTACCCAAGAGAAATAAAACTTATGTACAATGATCTGTTCTGGACTGTTTATAACAATTTTAATCACAATCAGCAAATATGACAAATCTACTGGTGAATGGAGACATAAATTGTAGAATAATAGAATACCTGTAAGCTGTAACAAGGAATGAACTACTGATACATGCAACAACACGGGTAAATATCAGAAACGTTATGATAAGTGAAAGAAGCCAGATGCAAAAGGTCACATACTGTATGATTCCATTTATATGACATTCTGGAAAATGAAAAACTATAGGGACAGAAACAATAGGCATGTCCCTATGCCAGGAACTGGTGTAGAGAGAGAGTGCTAACTTCAGTGAGGGAGAAAGGAACATTTTGGAGTTGTGGAAATATTCTATAGCCTGACTGTATTGGTTATTACATGACTGTATATGTTTGTCAAAACTCATCAAACTATATACCTAAAAGAGTGAATTTAGCTCTATGTAAATTATACCTTAATAAACCTGCATCTTAAAATCCAATCAGAATACAACACATATAAGAAGTTTAGATTTTACAGTGAGAGTAATGGGGCTACATACAGGAATTCTGTTTGTCCCTTGGGTCACTGATTGCCAAAGGAGGTTGTGAGTACCACAAGGTATGTGTAAAAATATCCTCTGGAATGTAGAATGAATATATTAGATATTCAATTTGTTTAGTCTAACTAGTTTTTAATAACTTTTATTACTGAATTTGCTTTAAAAATGTAGGGGGGCACCTAAGACCTGACTTTAGATGTGGTTATGTAACTCTTTGTATAAATTCATATTTCCACTAAATATCTCTTTTGTTGAAAAGTCAGTTAACGTGGGACAAATGTCAAGAATCCAGAGGACATCAGCATCACCTAGCTTGTGAAATGCATCCTCACTGGGAGAGCCTTTAACTGCACCAAAGCTCTCAAGTGCCAGTCAGCCATATGAGGGGAAGGAAAGGAAGGAGCAGAAGCCAATGGCCTATAATCTGGAGACAGTTCTGGTTAAGAATACGCTCCCAGTGAGAAAGTAGAAGCCAATTAACATATGAGAGACAGAGTGGTTATTGAATAAATAAATATCAACATTTTTAGTGTATAAGGTCCATATAAAAGAAACGATCCATTTAGAATACTCCCAAAGACCACGAGGGAGCCATGAGCATAGGTAAAACAAGAAATCTTAGATTCTTAATGGATATTCAAAATTTCAATGACTCCTAAGGCACAGGCACAAACAGCTGAAACTGTAAATAAAGTCAAAATCTTATTATTAATGTTCGCTGATAGAATGTCAGCCCACCTGAAGAGGAAGAATATCAGAAGAAAACTTACTAAGGATGAGCATTCCAGGTAAGAAAAGGGCAAGCCAGATAGTGAATCACTGACAGGGCCAAAGGGACACAATACTCTCTGGTCTAATGTATATGAACACACATAATGTAGGGAAAAAAGAAAAAAAAATACCAACCAGTGACCTAGAAGTCATAAGATGAACCTGTCCTGTTTGGAGATTCTGTATTTCCTAGGTAATGCTAAAACATACACAGAGCCCACGGGAATTCAAGAGTCAGGATGATGCAATGGGAAACATACAAAAAAAAAGAAAGTGAAAGACAGAGTGATGAGGACCTCACAATGTCATCATCCCAGCACATATCAAATAAAGCTTTATTACGCTCTGAGTGTTGAAGTAGAGAGACTAAGCTGTAGTGTTCATCACAGGATTAACAAGCAAAGTGAAAGAGCTTCATTGGATCTGCCTTGGGGGATTTAAAGATAAAAGGAATCTCCTTCTCATTGTGTTCCTCACCCCCACTCCATCTCCACCCCCGCCATCCTCTAGACACCCATAGGAAAAGAAAGATCCAAGCTGGACCAAAACTATTCCTGTCATCACTCTGAATAAAGGTACTTACCAGTTCTTTAGTGAGGAGATACGAGAGAGACTGTTAAATATATACTGTCTAAACTTCAGAGTTTCTCAGACAAGCATTATGGGAAGGTTGTTATGTGTTAGAAGTTCTCAAATAGACATATTCAGACATGGGTTTGGGACCGAGTTCTAACTTCTACTAGCTCACTAAAGGGACCACTGTTACCACTGGATATCAAAATGTATTACAAGGATAAAATAATTTTTAAAAGCTCAGTAACAGTCTAAGTGTGTAGCAAGCAGATATGAACGTAACAATGCAGGAGAAAAGAAGAAAAGATGTCCAAATGAACCACTGAAGATCTGAATGTGATGTGATTGATTGGTACATCTGAAATAGACTAGAAATCAATCAGTGAACTCTGAATCATGTAGAAAAATCCTTAGGTCATTGATCTGCGTAGGACTGTCTGGTTAACCACAAAAACAGTGATTTTAGAGGCCTCTACTGCCTTAGGGCCACTAAGTAGTTTCCTCCTTCTGTTCTTAGATGTACCATCCTAAAAACTTGCAAGGGAGCTTGAATAAATAATTTTGAATGGGCAATGCTCACTTAAAGAAAAGGCAAAGAGAAGAGAGAATAAACAAAGAGACTTCTTCTGTCAAAGGAGAAGGAAGGTAGCCAATAAAAATGGAGAAGACAGACAAAAAGATAAATAAATATTGGGCACCAAAGAAACATATTGTGGTTGGGGAAAATATTTAAAAGTTCAAGAAAAGAGAAGTAGTTTTATAATGCTTCAGTATGTAGGCCTTATTATAGCGATGAAACATAAGGAATGAATGAGTGTGTGTGCGGTGGGAGACTGGGGAAGGGGAGTGCTGAGGAATGCATCAGGGACATCATTTCTGTTACTGGTTATTTTGGTACTTTGGGGCCTTCTGAGGTTTACTCTAGGGTAATCTTTTAACTTTTTAAAGCTTCCAGTGCTGCCTTATCTACACAAGGCAGCCAGACACAGATACTGGGGTTTGTGTCTCTTGTACTTAGACAAAAACACAATGACCTCATTAAGAGGATGAGCTTAGGAGTCACGTATCTTGAATGGCTGTCATGGCTACTTACTGGATAGGGTAGTTTTCAAGTATTTATTGAGAGTTAGGCAGTTGGCTGGAATCTGCAAGTCTTCCATACATAGACATCATCATACTCATTTGTATAATTTCTTCATAGGAGTTTAACACATTTAATTCTTTCCTAACTAGAATCTGAGGTTTTTCGTTTAAAAAGTTATGGTCACTGAGCCAGAATCAAAGTAAATGGCACTTCATATTCTCAGCTTAACCATATTTTAACATGAAATGGAAAGAGCCTTACCCAGTGTCACGTGGATTGTGGAGTCTGGCTCCGTGATGTGGTTGGTTTTATTCTCACTCCAGCTGCTTTTCCAGCAGAGCCTTCTCCCTGCTCGGCACTTTTGTGGTCACGCTGCCTTTCTGGGGCTTGACTGGTATCACATGCAGATCCCCCAGGTCGTGTGTATCTCTGATATTGACCTAAGCTGTCCAAGAGGAGACAGGGAATCAAACCAATTAAATGGAAAAGGTGTAAAGAAACTTCGCTGCCAAAACTTCAGCCGGCATGTCATTCTGACACACAGGAATGAGATGAAATCTCCCCTGTGATGTAGATGCCATGTTTATTTTCCTTCTTGTCCTTATTATTTGAAGTGCTCTCTGTGATACAGTTATGCTAGTTGGTTCATGCTAAAATCATTCCTCTCATGAAAAAGTATGATTTGGAAACAAGAAAGAATGGAAGTAACAACTGCCTTGTGTCTCTCTACAGGCCAAATCTGAGTGGCTAGATTTTTTAAGTGCTTTCTGTTGTGAATTCTCACATCAGTCCTCGTGTGGGGCTTTTTCTTCTAGACACATACAATTTTTTCACCGGAACTGCAATCACACTCTACATGCTGTCTCATAGTCTGCTAAAACAAACTACGGTTCATGGCATTGTTTGCTCACTTCATAAAAATAGTTGCCTGGAGAAAATCTGGAAAATCTGGCAAGCGCCATCTTCTGACAGGTACCAGAGCTGCATCCTGTTACTACCAGATCCTTTTTATGGGAGAAGGGTGGGAACTAACATCCCGGCAAGCCAGCAGTTTTCTCAGGCTTCTAGAATATACCATACTCAAATTTAAAGTTTTGTTATGCATCACACAAAAAATGGAATGCTAATGTCTTTATTTCTAAGGGCCTGATAAAAAAAATTGCATGCTTGCTGAGAATTGAATAGATAAGAAAGACTTAAAAAGAAAGTATAATTCTGGGAAAACATATTATTGTTTCATGAATATCTTTCAATATTTTTTGTTTACATATATACATGAATACATATAATTTCAAAACAGCTTTTTACTGTGCTCAAGCAGTTTGAAACTTTTTCCATTATCAGTATTTTCAACGTGCTTTTGTTTGAATCACTTCAACTGTAATTTTCCCCCCTAATTTACATTTTACTTCAAACTTATTTGTGATATTGTTAAAAATGATTAACTATGTATTAAGAATTACTTTTAAATAGAGATAGTAAAGAGTATCTTGTCTCTCAAACTATACAAATGATACCAGGGAGCCTTATATTTTTTCTGATGTTGTTATACATATCGTATTAACACAGTCCTTTATCTTTAAATGACATAACATGGTACTTGTCATTCTGCAATTTGCCTTTTTCACCTACTACTACTTCTCAGACATCTTTTCAAATCACTACATGCTCATACTTCCATTTGTCAGCTATGTAACATTCAATTGTAAATGTAAGGATGCACCACATCACACAATATTTCTGAAACTGCTAATAGAAATAAACCAGATCCTCTGTCTGTCTCACTCTTGAACTTAAAAGATAGAATAAAATGGTTATTGCTGCCCACAGCCGTACCTGTGGTCTGACAGAATGAGTTACAAGGAGAACAAACATAGGGCTGTAGCCACAGCACAGCAACCAGGCTACGCTGTTGATCAGGTCCAGGAAAATTTCCACTATCGGCAAAAGACTGGGAGCAGGGGTATGTCTGCGTGTCCGTGTGTGTCTATGAATGCTTATGCATCTGAAACCAAATGAGTACAAATTTGTTTCAGCTTCATTTTGCTCTACTAATTAAAAAAAATGATCATGGAATAAAGCAATTCTAAAAATGCTGAAACTGGTTAAAAATATACTTTGAAATCCTCAGTAATCTGAACACTACAGAGATAGTATTAACATGGGAGTCTAGTTACCTCTGGAAGGAAAATGTACATGTTTTTTCACAAGTGTTATCATTCAACAGCATATCTGAATCCCTTCCATGATCATCGTACATTTATATTTGTGTTTGTATGTGTCAAGCACTTTTTATGGTTACATTTTTCTACTAGTTATTTTTTTTCTGTAGAATAATAAATGTTTAAATCAAAAGATAATAGATTCTGTAATGAAGACAGAAATATGGGATGCCATGTAAGAAATTAAGACTAACAGCGTGCCTTACTGAAGTCTTAATTTAGATGCTGTAATCTGATCACCCATTCCCACACTGTGGACTTCAGAAAATATCGGGAGAAACTAAATTTTCAGGGGATTGATTGTGTCACAGTAATAACAATTTCCCCCAAACTATATTTCATTCCCACTTCTCCCAGGCAACAATCAATTTTTTTTCACCGTTATACCAAAGCCCGAAGAAATTCCCAGAAAAAAACTAGCTTTAAGACAGCCATTACCTTGAAGCTTCTTGTCAGCTGCAGCCTCGTGAAATGCAGCTCCTCCCCCAAGACTGGCCTGGCACAGCTCACTCCCAAGCTTCTCAGAGGATGCTCCGCCCCCTCCCTGTGATGGGGAAAGCAGGGGGCCTTTCCCTCAATTAGAGGGAGGAGAATCGCCAAGTTAACTGAAATTCACTTAAAGGGGAAAAACGTTCATTTTTAAAAGGATTCGAAAGAGAAATGGCAACATGTGTCTCTTTAATTTCCATTCAAAACACAGGGGTAGGTGATATTCTGAAAAGAAATAGCATATTCCTTTATCATATAATAAAGACTCAGTTAAAAATATCTCTTACAGATTTTTCTTGCCTTCTATGGTAACACTTCTACAAAAGATTTTAAGACCCGGTAGATCAAGGTCCACTAAAAAGACCCACTTTGTCCTTGTTTGTGACTGCAGCAAATTAATGCATTATTTTGTGGAGAATTAAATCTCTACAGTTTTAATTCCTCTCACCATGGGACATGATAGGTTTCTCTTTTACTCAGTTTGCTTCATCCTTCAGAAAGTTTCACTTTTTTTCAAGTAAAGTCATTTTTAAACCTAAAACATCGGCCAAAATCCTTAATGAAGAGAGATATAAGAGATATATATCTGAATATATTAAAATTGAAAAAAAAAACTATTCCTGGTAAAAACACTATAAAGCAAAGTTGAAAACAGAAGAATAAACTTGACAAACTGTTTTCAATTCAAAAAGTATCTCTACTCTAAAGTAGCTCTTACAAATTGACAAGAAAAAATAGTGAAGGTAAAAAAAAAAAAAGAGAGTAAGGGACATAAACAATTCACAGTGTTCTGAGGGAGTAATTGTTAACCACTCCAAATATTTACTTCCCAAGCTCATGCAGTGCAACTACAGGTATCTCTGTCTTTATACAGTTGCAAACCTCCAGGCTGTTTGGTAAGATTGTTTAAATTGGATGTTTTAAAGCCAGCTTGACTCTGACAATAATCAGTGCCCTGAAACTTACCTTCACCTTGTACGAAAGCTGACATTTAGGCTTCTATCTGCAGCTTCATTTATTTTACATCAATTTGTTCAATTTGTTCAGTGAGGAAAGAGAGGTGCTATTCATGGGGGCTCCTCAAAACCCAAACATTAGAAATAAAAATTAAAACTAAACAATCCACAAAAGAGACTCACCTTCCCTAACTAAGAGATGCAAATATGAACAGCAATGAATTTCACTTTTCTACCTAATTTGATGTGTAATGAAGTGCCCCCCCCTCCAAATGATACAACAGACAGTTGGCAAGAGAGTGAGGAAATGGGCACTCTTGCTCACGTGCAAGGTCACAAAGCTGGGAAGGGGGCAAAACAAAATCAAAGCCAAGGTCTTATCTGATTCCCAAATAGAAAGACGTGTTCTCTCTCCACCAGTACTCAGTGCCTTCTGGGCTTCGAATCCTGTTTCTTGGGCATAACCAAGGATGATGTCATCCACCTTCAGATTGTGGGGGAATTAGTGAATGTAACCTCTGAGTGAGTGTTGTTTAATCTTACGTCCCTGCTGGTGGACCCACCAGTGAACTACAACAGCCTTCAATTATTACCATACTTAGCTATGATGTCTCCATCTTTTACATACAACTACATTCTTACACCAATTACAACATATGCTTCTGTACTATGCTTTTGCACTGACCGTATACTTTCACTTGGCCATTGAGTAGTTAAGACATGTCTGTTTTGTGTTGCAGGTCCTGGTAGTAACTTTCCTTTCAGATATGGTTATTCCTGGACAGGGACTGAAAACCACCTGTTACGCAGAGAAATGCCTATTCCACTTCATCCTCATTTACTGTTGGTAGCTCCCCGTTCTTGTGTTTTGTTATTTGCAACTTCAAATTCAATATCCTCTTTCATTGAGCTTTTTTTTTGTTCACAAAATATTCAAGAAATTAAGATTTAAATTTAGATTTAAATTGCCTTTAATCTAGGGGGATTGTTTCCCAGGAAGGGGTAAAACCTACATACTGCTAATGGATCACTTTGAGGGTTAGTTCTCTTAAGATAATGTTACATGTTTTAAAAAGAAAAACGTTACAAAATGCAGGTAAAGTTGGTAAGGCCCTCACAGATCCATCCATCATCACAGTGAACAAGTAAACACGACTCCTGTCTCCTGCCACCTCTGACTAATTCAGGTTAGGGAAACAGAGCTGCAGTATGACACAGCTCTTCCTGTGATTAACAAACAAAGGGAAAGAAAACTGCATCAGGGGCTCTAAAGAAAGAAGGGTCAAGCTGGATCAAAATTATTCCGCTAACCAATCTGAGTAAAGGATATCAGGGGTTCTCTGGTTAGGAAATATGGATTTCTGTTGGCAGAATCCAATGTCTAGCCTTCAGGAGTGTGCCACAGAGGCATTATGATACAGTTACATTTTTTGAAGTGTTCAAACAGGCAGGCAGGCAGACAGTTGTAGGTTTGAGACCTTTATTAGCTCAGTGGAGAGAACATTTTGAAATCCCTGACAACTATGCTAACTTGTCATGTCCCCTACTTGATAGCACAGGTAAGAAACATACATGACTCACATGCATCTCTGACATTAACCTAGGTTGTCTAAATATTAAATATTAAACCACATTTGAAGGTACAATAATTTAAAAAAAAGATTTTGGTACCTGCCTAAGTGTGTAGTGAGAAACAGAGGAGACAGGAAGGATGGGAAAAGAGGGGAAAGAAGTCCTAATTTAATCACAGAGAAACTGAATTTGCACATGTTCAGTTAGTGCACCTGGATATAGACAAGAAATCAATCAATAGATACGCAATGTGCTGGAAAACTCCCTGGGACACTGTGTGGTTCTAGCTGCCTGGTTTTCTAGAAAAGCAGTGTATTTGAAGGGCCCTTAACTCTGTTGTGTTAGGGCTAGTAAATGGCTCTTACCTGCTGTAGCCTCTTCTTATCCTTCTGAGACTATACAAAGTAGCTTGAATAAAGTGTTTTCAATAGGTGACAGCTGGATTAGATTAAAACATGGCAAAAAAGAAGAGGGAACAGATAAGTTTACTCTGCTAAGCAGAAAGAACACGGACAATGAAACTGGAGACAAGATACAAATTCAGAAGAATAAGTAGTGCATTTCAGACAGAGGAGGTCAGAGACCTGGACATCTTTCGGGAGAAAGGAACAAAAACTGAGAAGAATTATGATAACACAAACCCAATATCCCACCTTTACTATTTCTATTTTGTACTATAAATAGGGAATGTGTGTGGGAGGGCCTTTGAAAATGGCAGAGACGTTATTTGTGTTCCTAGATAATTTGGGCCTTTTAAATCTCACTGGGTTGTCATGACGGAAGGCTGGCTTTAGTGTTTCCTATGCTGTTAGTGCTGTTAGTGTCTCTCCAAAGCAACCAAAGAAATCATGGACACAGACAGCGAGGTTCAGCATCAACAACCTCATTCAAGAGAGGACACAGATGTCTATTTAAGGAAGGCTGTGAGACCTTAAGCAGGTCTTAAGAAATCCTTGTAACTAATCTATCTAGTATGTGGTGATGACAACCTAGCATAGTTGTCAAGGACTGGAGAGTCAGGCCATGGGCTGGAACCTCTGGTAAATACCTGAATAGTCTCTTACACTATTTCTTCACAGTGATTTTAACACATGAGATATTATTTCCTCAAAACCAGAAGCTATGGCTTTTAATTACAAACCATTATGCCTGCAGAACACAGAGCAAAATGAACTGTATCTCAAATTCCGAACCTAACATGACTTTGATATGAAAGATGGCTTTTAATTTAAAATGCTATATGGCTGCAGAGCAGGAAGCAAAACAAATTATACCCCAAGTTTTCAACATGTGTTTAATGTGAAATATTTCATGAAATGGGAAGAGCCTTACCCAGTGTCACGTGGATTGTGGAGAGCCTGGCCCTGTGATGTGGTTGG